TGTGGGTTTGGTAAATTTGACCAATCTCGCAAACACCATAAAAATTAGGAAATAAATATAAGTTATACATTTTTCATTCTGGAATGAACACAAGTTATAACATGAAAACATAAATGTTTAAACTAAATCGTTTAAATCTCATAACATTATACATTTATTATTTTTATTATATTGATCTTTCAGCCATGCCTGGTTAGCAATACAGAATTTACAATGACACGGCTCACATGCACTCATGTTACTGTATGAAGTAACATAAAAGTGACTTTTGGTCTGTACAAAGTAACTTCTCCTGGCTGTGTTTTAGTGGACTAGTATTTTGTAAAATACAGTCACATTTCGATTATTATACATTATATATGTATATAGATTATTGCTATTTTGAAATAAGTTCTTAAACTTATTTTATACTCAAGGATTACACTAAGCTTAAATTAATCCTCTGATAATACATTTGTATTGTACTCAGATAAAATTAATCCTCTGACTATATGTATTTATTAAACCAAGCTTAAGTTAATTTTCTGACTACATATGGATATGTTATCTAAGTTTTGATTCTTTAATTTCCAAAAGAAATATTTAAATTAAATTCTCATTCTTTGCTTCTCTGTGTCATATGACCCTCTGCACTGTGATTTCTTTTTTTTAGATTCTCTTTCTTCCCTGTATGGGATTCTAATACAGTACATTACCTAATTGATTAATTCCAATGTGTCTCCCATGCAAATTATCCTGTGACAACAGTCTACCAATAAGAGCGTGACATGGTCTCTTGACGCATGTGACTCCCTCTATTCAATTCTACTGAACTATCACTTCTCATTTAGCAGTACTCATGTCAAGACATTTTTTGTTTTGGTGCTCTTCGTATGATTCAAGTTCGTGACTCTTATTTGTTTCGTTTCCAAAGTGGAATTTCTTCATTCAATTTTTTTTTCTTTTTGATCTTTACATTGTGGAAAAATTTTCATTTAACTTACTTTCCCAGTTCTTATTTTTTATCCTACTTTCGAATTTTTATACATCAAACATTTTTGTTTGATTTATGATTCAACTATGATATCTTAGGTTAATGTTACCACTTTGGGTATCATACCTCCTACTATCACTATCTCACAAGCTGCAGGTGTGCCGAGACCTGTAGTTGGATTTATGTGCGATTATCCACCATGAAATTCATCGTTATATGGGTCAACCTCCTGCTGAACAAGTGTCAGGCCAACGAGGATTTTGATAGCTATTTTCCACCACCAGATTTTGCCATGTCTTCCTATGCCCCACCTGTGGAATTAGCTAGGCCTTCTATGGCATTTTTAGACATGATTTCTCAGGTATGTGATGTTTTGTCTATTTGCCTGATTTCTTATGATCACCTCCTTCTTTGTTACCCGATACCTCTTCATCTCATTATTTGTTTTTCCCACCCTCCCTGAATGTTAGGGAGCAATTTGCTTCACAATTGGTTGATGGTACCAGCATGCCTCGCCCTGCATGGGCTACGAATCAGTTTGCATAAGCTTACTATCAGGCTGACTGTCTGTTTCTCGACTCTCAGCAGGTGGGGTCGATTTTACCCGTGTTTAGGGCCGGTATTTATCTACTATCCATCCCCTTCTGAGATGATCCACAAAGATCCAGAAGGTTTTTCGAGGGGAAACCTGTCCCTAATTACCTCTGCGTTGGCTCGTTTGTCGTCTTTGGCTCTCGCTTTACACATGTGGTTTCTCTGTTGTTGGGATCTCCTGGGTTGAGACTCGGCAATGTCCCAGGTTCGTTTACCACCCCCTTATCTTAGGTATTTATGAATGTTGGCTTTTCTTTGGCAGTATGTTTTCGATGATGTACCTGAGACTTTGGAATCATTTGTGAAGTCTGTGTGTCATCACACTGTCATGTCCTCTTTGGTTGCACGTTTTTTGCAGTCGGAGCCAAGACAGACTCCTATTCCTGTTTCACATCCAGTCCATCTCAGGCTTTACCTGTTCCTCCATCCAGGGGTTCCTCATCTTGTTGTTTTATTCGATGTAGATGGGCTCATAACCAACAGTACCAGTGGTTTTCTGGTCCAGTGGGAACTCACTTGTCCGAATTTATTTCCCTTTGCCATCCTTTCACCACAGCTCCGTGGGTTATTTGTGTTTTATCTGAGGGTCTTGTCCTACAATTTTTCCCCCCTCCTTTGTCTCAGGTACCTGTTTCCTTCCTCATGCTTCAGGATCCTACTACCAGTCAGCGCCTATCCAAGGCGGTACAAGACCTTCTCAACAGGCCATCAAACATTCCC